TGATGAATTAATTGATTAATTGCTAAGTCATGTTTAGAAATTTTTCGAAAATGATCTTGTTGTTCGCACTGCATAATAGCCAGTTCATGAGAGAATTTATCAATCAATTTCATGTTTTTGTTAATATTTTCGTGGTTTGAATGGATGTTTTTAGAAGGTTTAGACTCCGTAATAACAGCATCCAACTTAACTCCTTCGAGATCTGTAGACAGTTCACAAACAGTTCGCAAATTACTGTTTGTATCTTTAGCAGAACTAAAATCTGTATTTAGCATGAGGTCATGCATAATCGTGCCAGTGGGTAATGTTGAGTTTGATTTCATACATACCAACTGGAAGATTTTGTTCACAGTCTCATATAATCCATCAATTTTCTTTACAGCAGCAGTCACTTCTGTTGATAATCGGTCACAATTCGTGCATCTTTCATGATGATTCACCGTTTGAGAAGAACAATCTTTAAAGTAGCTTTCGACCTTGTCTTTATCACAAACTTCAATATTTGATGTGTTTAACTCACGATCGCCGTTACTATGCACGTTTGTTAATAAAACGCCAGTTTCTAGCACGCCAGTTTCTAGCGTAGAAATCACCAATCGTTCCAGAATTTGGCCATCAACACCTTTAAATATCATAGAGTTGTTGTCCGCATACCATGTAAGCTTGATTTGATCATAAAGAAATACTTTAGCACTTCCCCCGGGCGAGTTCCAGACACCTCCAGCATCATATAATTCTGCCATAAAATGCTTCAAATTCTCAAAATCACCCAGCCACTTGATTCTGCCGTTGACATTACGTGATAGATAGTCTTTAAACTTTGAAAAGACCATACAAAAGTGATTCTGACTGATATTAGTTGTGTTTGTAGCAACACACTCATGCATAGTCGCCATGTTGAACCTATGGCTGGAACCTATGTGTGTATGTGTGTTTGTCTGTGGGCACGATAACTCAAGAAATACCAAACAATTGAATGCATTTCCCATCGGCTAAGGAAGAGTTGATTAAAATTTGGTTGAATTTGGCTAAAAATTGAACGAGAAATGAACAAAATTTTGTCTTGCTTTTCCCGGTCAATTAAAAAACTTACTGAATGCGTAATTAGGACGTGTGATAATTTATGCACCAGTGTACAGGGTATATAAAGGTAAACAAACAATGGTATAATCTTTTTAGATTGTATACAATTGTAAATCTTACTTATATAAGGGAGGCTGCTAAAAAATCATGTACTTTACAAATATATTCTAATTTCGTAATAATAATAATAGGTCAATAGTTATATATACACGCTGGCAATATTTTAGGTACCGGTTTTATACGCCGAATTACGGTGGCGTCGAATGCGATTAAGACAATAGTCAATGGATAATAATAAGATGATAAACCTCATTAAACTTCAGCCTTCATTATCTATTGTCTTCACGCGACCGAAATTCAATATAGGCTTTTGGAGTTACGCATCGTTGCGTTCAGCAAAGTGCTAGGCCATTCGTTCACACTTTTCCAAAGAACACAATAAACCATCTGGCAGAACTACTAAATGCGATAATGAACGTGAACAAGTAAATTGTCAAGATGTGCCAAGCAATTCTTTATTAGGCATAGATAGTGAAATTAACATAATCGCCAAAAGTAAAGGTTTGAAGATAGCCAACTTAAATGTAAATAGCTTAATGAAACATCTGGATAAAATTCGCTTAATCCTTAACAATAACGCCCTTGACATTCTTGCAATTAATGAGTCCAAAATTGATAATCAGATTTCAAATAATGAGATACATATTGATGGTTTTAATATAATTCGTAAAGATCGAAATAGGTTTGGTGGAGGTGTGGTTCTATATGTTCGCCAAAACATATCATTCTCAGATAGAATAGATCTAATCCCTGATGAACTTGAGATGGTCTGCATTGAATTAAGTTTACCCTACAATAAATCACTGCTAATAAGCACGTGGTATAGACCACCAAATTCTCTGATGAATATATTTGATTACTGGGCAAGCTTTTTAGCAAAATGTGATAATGAAGATAAGGAGCTAATCCTCATAGGAGATCTAAATTGTGATGTCAGTAAAACTATACCTGACCCTCACACATGTAAGTTGCAATTTTTATGTTCTCTGTACCAGATAGACCAACTTATTAAAGAATCTACAAGGCTAACTCCTAAATCAGCTACACTAATTGATTTAATATTAACAAATAGACCAGAAAATATTTCCAGATCAGGTGTCATTCACCTGGGAATTTCAGATCACAGCCTTGTCTACGCTGTGAGAAAATTTACACTACCAAAAGGAAGGCAAAAAATTCGTCAGGTTCGTAACTTTAAAAACTTTGTCGAAAATGATTTCATTCGGGATGTGTCTCAATTGCCTTGGGAGATGGTCTATCAGTTTGGAGATCCCAATTTATGCTGGCAAGTCTGGAAATCACTATTATTAGATGCACTTAATAGACATGCCCCTCTGCGCCACAAGCGAATAAGGAATAACCCTGTCCCA